AAAAAAAATAAAAATTTTAAAATTTGAAAATAAAAATTTTATTTCTCAAATTAAAGTCATTGATAATTAAAATAAAATAAGTGCTTTATTAATAATGGTCCATGAGAAAAATAGATATTTTAATATTTGAAAATAAAAATTTTGTATTTTAAATAAATAAAAATGTTAATAAATATTTGGTTAAGAGTGGCCCGTGAAAAAAAGAGAAATTTTAACATATACAAATAAGAAAATTTTGTGCATTAAATAAATATAATTATTAATTAAAATAAAATAGATATTTTAGTGATAATGATAGACAAGAAAAAAGAAATTTTAATATTTAAAAATAATAATTTTGTTTTTTAAATAAAGATAATTATTAATTAAAATAAATATATATTTTCTTGATAGTGATATGTGAAAAAAAAATTTAATATTTGAAAATAAAATTTTTGTATCTTAAATAATAAAAATTATTAATTAAAATAAAATAGATATTTTTTTAATAGTGATCTATTAGATAAAAAGTTAATTGTATGTTAGACTATTAAGTATTATCTAATTTCAACAAATAAATTCTTAATTTTATTAAAAATTTAAAACTAATTAATTATATTTTAATAATAATAAATAAACTAAATTAATTAAATTTATCATAAAAATAGAATTAAATATAAATATTGTATATATTTATACACCAATAAATATTTAATATGATAATTATATTCTATAATTAAATATTTGGAAAAATAAAATGATTAAATAGAAAAGATAAAATAATAAAATTAAAAATAAAAAAAAAGAAGAAGGAGATGGTGGATAAAAGAGTGAAAATAGAGGAAAAAAATAAATGTTAAAAAAGTATTAAATAGAAACTTGATATTTGGTAGTATTTAGTTGAAGTAAAATGAATTAATTGAGAGATTATATTTTGACTATTTAAATTTTTTTTCAAATATAAAAAAATTGAAATAAAATATATTATTGATAATTTTCATCATCTTTTTTTAATAGATAAATAATTAATTTTAAATAATTCTTTTTCTAAACTTAAATATTAAAAAATATAATTTTTAGTTTTGTTTTAACACTTGGACTTAGACATCAGTACTAATAATAGTTGACCACTATTATAATAAAAAATAACCATGCTAAAGCATATGTGGGCCAAGGGGGCATTAAATTTTTAGAAAGAATTTTTTTAATGATATTTACATTTAAAAAAATTACTCATAAAAAAATTAAGTATATTATTTACGTCTCCTTAATTGAATATATACATAATTATCAATCAGACATATATAATAATAGTTTTATGAAAATTTAATATGTATCTTTTTAAACGCATTGTGTATATATAATTTTATGGAATTCTAAGGGAAGATAGTTCATAAAATAATATGGAAGGTTAAACATACTAACGGGTGCGTGTTATCCCGCAAAGTTATAGGTTGTCTGAAATAGTCTTGTTCAGCTCATCTCGCTCCTTAGAAAGGTCACCAGAGCTCAATACATTATCCTGACCAGCAGTTACCATGGAGATCAAGAACCTGTCCCTGAACAAGATACGAGAAGCACTTCCAAAAGACCTCACATGTCAATTGCGGATAAGCTCCGGACAAAAGTCAAGTCCCTAGTGGCCACTATAATAGTGAATTCCACCATAGTACTAGGAATCTGAGATGGAAAAATAGCAATAAGTTGGAAGAAATGAGTAAAGTGCCTTTTGGTCACCACTCTCCGACAACTGAACCTGCTTGAAAGAACCTTATTCTACAGGAGTCAATGGGCTATCACCCTGACCTCTCTTGGCAGGAGATAGGGACGCCGAAGGCTCGTGAATAGAAAATCCAACCGCCATAGTAGTTAATTGTTGTTGAACTCGAGATAGTAGTCATAACTACTGTTGAGGCCACCGCTACCCAGATCACCGGAGCAAAAGTGGAAGCAACAACAAGAGCCACCGACATCTGGCCAAACAAGTTGGTCGTAAGACCCTGATCCTTGGAGAGCGTGAGATTCTTATTCAATTGATCCATGTAATCTGCAATAACACTGTTTAAAAAAGGCATCCCAGATCCTCAACCTCACCAAAGGGTTTTTGCCTCTCGGAATTATCAAGGGCACTAATAATTGCATAAGTATCTACTCACCTATTCTTTTTCTCAAAAGAGAGTACTTCATAGGGTCAAATCCTTCTTCATATCCAAGCCCCTGATATCAGGCGCCCAGATCCTCCTTGATTCTCATCTCCTCATAAGATATAAGAGTTAGCTCAGAATGGTAAGAAGGAAGAGGCCGGTGAAAATACACTCTAGACCAATACTTCAAAAAACCACTTCTACAAGAACAGGCACATCATGATGGAGCCGAAGACAAACAAAAGGAAAGATGAGCTCTAGGAGTCACATGTCTCACCAGTATGAAAGGTACTAGGAAATCACCCTAGTCAATGGCGAAATAGACAAACCAAGGCACCTAGGGGCATAGAAGACCAATCCTTGATCCTGAGCGCCTTATTGAGAAGTACGAGCTACAGAAAAAAGATCAAAAAAAGAGCCACGAAAAAGGTTTCCAAAATTTATACCTGGTACAGAGTTGAAACACCTTCATAAAAGCTCAAGCTCTAGGATGAAGCTGGGAGAGGATAACTTTTAAATGGTCCATCACGGCCATCTTAAAATCATAGAAGGGCAAGTGTATCTACAACCTAATGAAAATACACTCGTATAAAGGAACCAAACAACCCTCAAAAGAGCTTCATATGCAACGCTTGAGGGACTCACCCCAAGCGAAAAGTCTATCAAGTCATGGAAATATAAAGGGACCCACTTCGAAACTAATTACGGAGAAATAAATCCAAATAAGAAAAATCACCACATATGATGAACATGTTCATTAAATAAATTCCACTGGACGAGGTTACAAATCTCCTCTAGTTGGGCAATGGAAAAAAAACATGGGCCTAAGAGGTAGACTGAATCGCCTTCACAAATTCTCTCCTAAGGGACTAAACTTAAAGTCTTACCTGAGAGATTCAAATTAAAATATTTCTTGAGAGACTCAAATAAAAGTCTTGTCTAAGAGACTCAACTTAAAGGTCTCTCCTGAGAGACTCAACTTAAAGTCTCGCGTGAGAGACCTAACTTAAAGTCTCTCTTGAGAGGCTCTACTTGAAATCTCTCCTCATAGACTAAACTTAAAGCCTCTCATGGAAATAAATTATATTTGCTCAGATTAAATACCTTGCCATTTCCAAACTCTTCTGCTTGAATGACTATGTACTGATATAATTTTAATGGATCCTAAGAGGGGATAACCCATGCAAAATATGGAAGGCTAAACATACTAATTGGGGGGTGAGTTGTCCTGCGAAACTATAGGTGCCCAAAATGGGCCATGAGGCCACCTAGATATTTATAATGGTCCTCCCAGTTGGGCTTCATCTATTTGAACTAATTCTCATAGTCCACTTATCTAATAGACGTTGGAGATGATGTGTCCAACTACATCAAATTCAGAGACAGAGTTAAGGAGGATAATTTCCTTATCTACGATTCAAGGAAGACATAGTCTCTTCCTCTAAGTCTTTGAAGAAGAGAGCTATGATAACTTCTTTCTCGCCCATAATCAAATGGCCTCTATAAATACCTAAGTCTTAGGATTGAAAAGGAATCTCCAAATTTTCTCCAGAAAATCATTCATAAAGTTTCTCAATATTGCGCGTGAGCTAGCCCTACATAACGTCTAAATACCCTAAACACTTGAAACAACACTACAAACACATGACTACATTATTGTATTTTTTTAGCACGTATAAATTGTTATATATAATTAATGCTCTCTCTCTCTCTCTCTCTCTCTCTCTCTCTCTCTCTATATATATATATATATATATATATATATATATATATATATATATATATATATATATATATATATATATATATATATATATATATATGTTGTATCCATTAGTTAAAAAGTTTGAATTTCTCCCTTATTATAACCATTATTATTACTATTTCTGATCATCGCTACTCAACACTCCAACCTCGTGCGACGCCACTTCAACTATCATCATTGTGACCATGTCTAGTCGCCACTTTATCCATTTATACTCTTTAATATAACTATCACATCATCTAACTATGATCTTTATGACAACCACTAAATTTCATTTTCACTATTATTCTAGTCACCGCTAACCATTACTCTAATTATTGTCAACTAATACTTTGATTATGTTAATGAGCTCACCTATAATTAACAATTTGACCACCACCATTATGATCACCACACCTTTAATCAATAAACTTTGATCACCACTCCAACCTCTGTTAACCATCACTCTGACCAACATCGGTAACCATCAGTCATTATGCCTACTAATCAAACCATCAAAAATCATCACTCTCTGTCGTACCCCGAATTTGTCCTACATCGATGACTTTATTTTTCGAGATTAAAATAGAAGAAATATTTAAATAAAGATGGTACAGTAGTATCTTATGGCCTGTCTTTATCCAAATCGACTAGGGGTGTATTTTAATTCGGGAAAATGGGACTTTCTAAACCAGAAAGACTCATAAACCCATTCGCGTAGCATGTTGGCCAATGGCCCGTGCGATTTGAGGATAGAAAATCATTTCAGAATAATAACTATTAAATAGTTGTTATTGTAGAGGTTGAAATTAAATTAAGTCTACTTAAGTTTAAGTTGCTATTAATTAATAATTGATTATATAAGCCCATTTAAATGTTATTGTTGCTAGTAAAAAGAAAGGGCGTGGTTGCATCTTGAAGCCCATTAAAATGCGTACAAGCCCATTAAGATTTTTTTACAGAAATACACTTATAATCTTTTATTATTACTGGACTAGAAAAAGGACATTATTATTAAAACCTTTTCATCATTATAAAAAAGGATTTTTTTTTATAAAGTGTATTCATTGATTAAATTATTGCTAAAAGACTTTTATACAATGATACTGGACATTTTTTAAGAGTTATGGTTTTAAATAAATAAATCAATAATCTTTTGAGTCAGATTATTGAAGCCAATTAGGCCCAACACGCATTGAAAGAACGCATTGGCTGAAATTTCTGTTATGGATTGGTGGCACAATGCAAGGCCCATTTGGCATTTGTGAATAGAATCTGATTCATGTTTTATTAATTTATTTTACAAAATATTAGTAGTTTAATAAATTGTTTTTCTTGTATACATAAAGATTTTTGTTTTAAAAAAGATCTTTGGATCAAATTGTTGGAGTCAATTGGGCCTAACCGTTAAAAAAAACGCTTGGTCACAGTAAAAAATAATGTTGTTGCAATAAAAAAAGCAATAATATGTTAATCTGGGCCAAATGTCCCAACTTTGTTTACTTAAGCTGAACCATAGTGCAAAGTCTGTGCAATTAACAATTATGATGCCAACACACAAAAAAAGACGCACGTTTTTTTTGCAAACTAACATTGTTCAAATCAAAACAAATCTAGAATATCTTTTTTACAGCACAAAATGTAAGAACAAATCTTTATGCAAATCTCCAGAAATCAATATATAAGGTCAATCTTAGGATTATACAAAATCAAGTATATTACAAATCCCAAATCAAATCAGTACATTAAAGATGAATCAAATCTCATTACAGATTACAAAAATAAAATCTGTAAAATGTTACAACGAATCAATTACAGCAAATAAATCTAAATCTCTAATTGATCTAAAAAACTCTAAATATGTGATAATCTAACCTATAATAGAAATTCAAACCCTAATTTTAAAACCTATATAAACTAATTGAAGAAAATACAGGGGGTAGGCGGAAGAGCAAGAACAGAGATGAACACAGAAGAAAGGGAGAGAGATACTGGCAGAGGGTTTTACAGAGAGAGGATGAGATCAAGAAGGAAGAACAAGGTATTTTCCGAAGCAAGGAGCGTTTAGGGTTTCATTGTCTGAAACCCTAATCGCGTATCTAACCTTCACCGCCGTTGCTATCATCGTTATCGTCGCGCCTTCACCTCCATCGCCGTCCACTTCGAAGCTCTATCGAAACCTGTAAAAACGAAAAAGAAGAAAGGATCAGCCCCGAGTCGGATAAACGCTCAGAAATCCAACCGGATTGCGAAAAGGGTAATTTGACTTAGCATATTGTTTGCGTTGTTATGGGGTTGTTGGGTTCTCGTTTACGGTGAGAAAGGTTTTGGGATTAGGTTAGCACCGCCGGTGGTTGGTGGAGATTAGGGTTGTAAGGTTGAAGAAGAAAAGGGAATGAAGGATTCTGTGGTGAGAGAGAGAAGGAAGAGGGTATTACTTACTGTAAAACACAAATGAAAAAAATGAAGGGAAATTTTTTTGTAATTTGTTTCAATCACGTATTCGTGCTCCTACCATAACTAATGTGCTTCTTCATTATTATCCATTTGATCTTGATCAGACGGTCATAAGCCAAGTCTGTACCACTGTAGCGTGCACCCTCACCACACTAGAACACGCTGGCCCTCTCCCAAACGCAATAGGCTGGGCCCAGACGTTATCCACACCCCTTTCTGCCTGATTGCTAAACCAGCGAACAAAAGACACCCCCCTGCCTGGACTCATACTGGGCCTAATTCCCATTATTAATCACACCCCCCTGTTTTACTTGCCAATTAGAACTTGCACCTCCCTGAATCTAGTTAATTTTATTTATTTATTTATTTTTATAATTTAATTATCATTTCTTTTTAATATATATATATATATATATATATATATATATATATATATATATATATATATATATATATATATATATATATATATATATATATATATATATATATATATATATATATATATATATATATATATATATATATATATATATATATATATATATATATATATATATATATATATATATATATATATATATATATATATATATATATATATATATATATTATAATAATAATAATTATTGTCAAATAGTGTTTTATTTATTTATTATTATTATATTTTTATATTATTATTATATATATTACTATAATAATTTGACTTTTTACTATTATCATTATTATT